GCAGCATCCACGCTGAAGCATTGGTGAACTTCTTATTGGCATCACACAGCGGGAGAGTTGGTCCAAACGTGCATGGGTCTTCCATAAGGATAGTCCCACATTCCTAAAATGGTGGATGGTGGACTTAGTGGGAGAGTGACCCAATAACGGAGGAGTGGTGGCTAAATTTAGTAACACCAAATTTAGCCAACACTATATTTAGGAGTGTTAGTGGTGGAGTGGCAACACCATTTTCTCCAACCTCCAAGTAGTGGGAAAGTGGGCTAAAAGCTTGGAGTGGACTCCAAGTAACACTAAATTTAGTAAGCCTAAGTTTAGCATCTCGTTTGCCTATAAAATGGAGAGCTTGAGGAATGTTCAAGAATCCAATTCAATCCTATCCGAGTATATCGGATCCAGTCCTAGAGTGTTCAATTGTAGCCCAAGTGGCAAAAGAGAGTGTAGCCTCTCTAGGGGAGGTGTTGTTCCTCTAGGAGAGTCGAGTTCCTTATGAGAGGGAGCGTTGTCCATCAATATCCGTCTTGATGGAAGACTTCAACTAGGTAGTTGGGATCGAATCTCTTGTATCATGTATATGCAATTTGTATATAAAAGGTTGAGAAGAGGTTCCCGTATGATTGGCTTTGGGTGTGTATGTGTTGTGTTGTGTTGACACTCGGCCAACGAGAGTTGGGAGGGTCGTGATGATGTACTTCCGCACTAATTTTACGAATGAACTATAGGTGTGTGGTGAGAGGTTGTACTAAGGCGGTGTCTTTAGTCCGCACGGAGCACGAAAAATTCTACTCCAGGAATTGTCCGTGACACCGTGCTTCTAGCAACTGAGTCGACGCTTTTCTCAGAACAACGTCAAGGTTGGAGAAACAATGCCCTCAATGGTCATTCAGCAGAAGATTTCGCTGACAAGGAGAGGCTTTCAGTTTCTCATCCTCTTCCTTGTTTGCTCCAGTGGTGGGGCTTTGCCATCCTCTCATTCTTTTCCTTTTTGGGCAGAAGATCCTTCTTGTTATAGAGCTCTTCCGTCCCTTCATTTTGCGTCAAACCTCACGACCTCTCGACTGGTGATTCATACCTTAGCTAGTTGATGTACGCTTGGACGAGACTTGTAGTTATTTGATGTAACTAATTATGTCTATTTTAATTAGTTGAGAAGTTAGCTTTTAATTCAGTTGTTAGTTAATTTTTTTTTTGTTGGTTAGAATCTGTTAGCTAGTTGATGGTTTCTAAAAATCCAACCTCTTCATTTGTAGTCCTCTCTTGTAAAAGGAAGGATGCAGGCTTCATTTTGAGAACTTTTTACATTTAATAAAATTTCCTTCATTGGTTTACACCATTATTTGCAGTTAACTTAATAAAAGGTCGCATTCTCTATTTTCTCTGTCGTAATGTTCTTATCGGAGAAACTTGAGTATCTTAAGTTTGGATGCGAATTGGTTTTCTTCCAGAACGTTGTCGTTTCTGAGTGTTTTCATTTAGCCTTGTCTAGATGGTCTCCATCAATGCGACTTTGTTATTTGTCGCGTGGCAGGCTGGGATTTAGCCACGCCTTTCATATACTGCAGCTTAATGCGAGGTCGCCATTATGGTGTTGTTTGCGCGTTATCGAATTTCGATCACTTCATTCATCATGCGTCTTTCTGAAGCGCGTCTCCTTGCTTCCTTCACCCTGTTGGCGACGTGTTTGTTCATTGGACTGGCCACCCGTCGCTTGCCTTCTATTTAAGAAGGTGGCAAATGAACTATCGTGGCCTCATCTTCCTAGCTTTCTCTATTTTCTTCAAGATGGCTAATTGAACCACCAGATCGGCGTGGCAATCTCCAACACGTCAAAAAATTAACCACTAACGTTTCCCTCTCTACCTTCGCCTTGCTTCTGCATCGGTATTTGGAGCGTGTGGGAGTCACAGTGTCGACCCTTCAGACACCAAGAGTCACGTCGGGGATTGCGTGACGACACTAAAGAAGAAAGTTATGAAAGGATCAAATCCTATAGCGAACGCGTGTGAATGCTTGTACTTCAATTTTGTTTTAGGAAAAACTACAAAGAAAAGAAAGAAGGAAGAAGGAGAACCCACCTTTGAAGACCGTAATTCAACAATAGC